CCTCTTTTCCCATCTACCTCTTACTCTAACTGTAGCTACAACTAAATAATGATCCGATATATCAGCTGCCCCTCTATAAACATGTACATCCTGGAGCCTACCCATCAACCTTTTATCCACCAATACATAATCTAACAAATTAATTTCATTACGTGCTACATCATACCTTGTATATTTATTTATTCTCTTTTTCATAAAATATGTATTACTTATTACCAAATTTCTTTCTACACATAGCTCAATTAAAGGCTCCCCATTTACATTTACCCCTGGCACCCCAAATTTACCTACTACTCCCTCCATAACATTTTTACCCACTTTAGCATTGAAATCCCCAACCACCATTACTCCCACACTTGATTCAAAACTCCCCACGCATTCACTCCATCACTGTCTTGCCAGAGGGGTGCTTTACAGTACAGTTTATAAAACTGCAACATTAACACCCCTCCTTCAGAAAGCAGACACTGTACTTCCCATCTCCAGGACTCTAAGTCCGATCTGCTGGTTTCCCTGAATCCCTTCATAAATGTTACTTTGCTCACACTCCAACAGCACGTCAAGTATTAAAAACCATTTGTCTCCATTCACCAATATCAAATACGTTCACACGTGCTTGCTGGAAGTCCAAGCCCCTCGCACACAAAACCTCCTTTAGCCCCTCCCTCCAACCTTTCCTAAGCCGACCCCTACCCTGCCTTCCCTCCACTACAGAGTTATACAGTCTTGAAGTCATTCTGTTTCGTTCTATTCTCTCTACATGTCTGAACCACCTCAACAACCCTTCCTCAGCCCTCTGGACAACAGTTTTGGCAATCCGCACCTCCTCCTAACTTCCAAACTACAAATTCTCTGCATTATATTCACACCACACATAGACCTCAGACATGATATCTCCACTGCCTCCAGCCTTCTCCTCACTGCAACATTCATCGCCCATGCTTCACACCCATATAAAAGCATTGGTAAAACTATATTCTCATACAATCCCCTCTTTGCTTCCTTTTCCCCTCATCAATTCTATGATTCACTTCATCTTTCATAGACCCATCTGCTAACACATCCACTCCCAAATAGTATCTTAACACATTCACCTCCTCCATTGTCTCTCCCTCCAATCTGATGTCCAATCTTTCATCACCTAATCTTTTTGTTATCCTCATAACATTACTCTTTCCTATATTCACTTTTAATTTTCTTCTTTTACATACCCTACCAAATTCATCCACCAACCTCTGCAATTTCTCTTCATAATCTCCGAAGAGCACAGTGTCATCAGCCGAAAGGAACCGTGACAACTCCCACTTTGCGTTTGATTCTTTATCTTTTAACTCCACACCTCTTGCCAAGACCCTCGCATTCACTTCTCTTACAACACCATCTATAAATATATTAAACAACCATGTTGACATCACACATCCTTGTCTAAGGCCTACTTTTACTGGGAAATAATCTCCCTCTTTCCTACATACTCTAACCTGAGCCTCACTATCCTCATAAAAACTCTTCACTGCTTTCAGTAACCTACCTCCTATACCATACCCCTGCAACATCTGCCACATTGCCTCCCTATCCACCCTGTCATATGCCTTTTCCAAATCCATAAATGCCACGAAAACCTCTTTAGCCTTATCTAAATACTGTTCACACACACACACACACACATATATATATATATATATTATTGTGACCACGAATGAGTGGCATTGATCAATAACTACACTGCGCTAGCCAAGGACTCGAACCCATGCTGCTTTGGCCTGCCTCATGGTAGGCGAAAACACATGACGCCCTTATCCACTGAACCATATGATCCTTAAAAGTAGGGCATCCAGCAGAACTGGATGTGGTACTCCTACCCAAGGATACATGATGGTGTGGATGACTCTAGGCTAATTTCATTCTAGTCCCTGTTTGGTGTACTAGTTCAATGAGCAGTATTTTATATTATTGTGACCAATAGGCATGGGAGCGTTGACTCCCGAAACCCTCCCCAGGTATACAGCAAAAGGAAACTGCTATTAGTATGACGTTTCACCTCAAAGACGATTTTTTTTTTTTATTCAAATAAATTTTACAGGTTATGAACTGTTATATTATCCTAATTCATTTTAAAGCACAACCCCTATCTAAGGGGCTGGGCTTTAAAATGAGCTAGGGCAGCGAGTGTGAGGAAACTATGCCCAATGTTTTCACCGATTTCAGGGATCGAACCAAAGACACTCAGTACAGAAGCAGAGTGTGCTGCCAACCAACACACTTGATAAAGCCTCATGTAGGTGAAAAGTCAAACTAAAAACAGTCTCCTTTTGCTGTACGTGTCTTTTTAACACTTGTTAGTTATGACATACTTCAACTATTCTGAGAAAGGTACAGCTCCTATATTTAAATATAAGTTTGATAAAAGGCTAGACCAAAATGGAATACTGTAAATAACAGTGAAGAAATGACACACCACAGAACAAGCTTTGAGTGGAACAATGTTTTGCTCTGTGTAGAGCTTTATCAAGTCAAGAAGAGCTCTACACAAAGTAAAACATCTCATTCCTGATAAAAGATTACTGAATAACAATAACAGTTGTTCCCTTCACTTCAAATCTCTTAAAATATTTTCTACATGCTTTTCCACTTAAAAAAGAGAGAGAGAGAGGAGAGACGAAAGAGAAAGAGAGTAGAAACACAGTAGAGAACAGAGCAAGACGTCTCATCTCTCGCCTGGACCCATCCTGGATAGATCTGTCATTTCAGCAGAGCCTTCAACATAGGAGGGATGTGGGTGGCCTTACTGTTATGTACAAGGCCAATATTGTCAAAATACCACACTTGGATCCACTTCGAGGACAGCGTGAAACAAGCTTTTATGCCACAAGACGGGCAGAAAGCAGCAACTTCACTCTGGCTGTACCCTTCTCCAGAACATCACTCCATCTGAGATCATACATACCCAGGATGACTCGAGTATGGAACACATTCGTACAGCATAATGATGTCAATGAGATAAAGTCAGTTGATCAAATGAAAATGCTGGCCCACAGATGGCTCCAACTTCATCCTGTTCTGTACTTGTATGTCTCATAACAATAAAAATGCTTTCAAATGAGCTGATGTAGGTAACAGCTCTAAGCTTGCCAATAAAGTTAGGAATCCTTAACCTGTAATATAGCTGTCAATAAAGCTAGGGATCCTTAACCTTGTCAAACCCTGTGTAAAAAAAAAAAAAAAAAAAAAAAAGAGAGAGGAGAGAGAGAGGAGACAGAGAGAGGAGAGAATATATATATATATATATATATATATATTTTTTTTTTTTTTTTCAACAAGTCGGCCGTCTCCCACCGAGGCAGGGTGACCCAAAAAAAAGAAAGAAAATCCCCAAAAAGAAAATACTTTCATCATCATTCAACACTTTCACCACACTCACACATTATCACTGCTTTTGCAGAGGTGCTCAGAATACAACAGTTTAGAAGCATATACGTATAGAGATACACAACATATCCCTCCAAACTGCCAATATCCCAAACCCCTCCTTTAAAGTGCAGGCATTGTACTTCCCATTTCCAGGACTCAAGTCCGACTATATGAAAATAACCGGTTTCCCTGAATCCCTTCACTAAATATTACCCTGCTCACACTCCAACAGATCGTCAGGTCCCAAGTATCATTCGTCTCCATTCACTCCTATCTAACACGCTCATGCACGCTTGCTGGAAGTCCAAGCCCCTCACCCACAAAAACCTCCTTTACCCCCTCTTTCCAACCCTTTCGAGGACGACCCCTACCCCTCTTTCCTTCCCCTATAGATTTATATGCTTTCCATGTCATTCTACTTTGATCCATTCTCTCTAAATGACCAAACCACCTCAACAACCCCTTTTCTGCCCTCTGACTAATGCTTTTATTAACTCCACACCTTCTCCTAATTTCCACACTCCGAATTTTCTGCATAATATTTACACCACACATTGCCCTTAGACAGGACATCTCCACTGCCTCCAACCGTTCTCCTCGCTGCTGCATTTACCACCCAAGCTTCACATCCATATAAGAGTGTTGGTACTACTATACTTTCATACATTCCCTTCTTTGCCTCCATAGATAACGTTTTTTGACTCCACATATACCTCAATGCACCACTCACCTTTTTTCCCTCATCAATTCTATGATTAACCTCATCCTTCATAAATCCATCTGCCGACACGTCAACTCCCAAGTATCTGAAAACATTCACTTCTTCCATACTCCTCCTCCCCAATTTGATATCCAATTTTTCTTTATCTAAATCATTTGATACCCTCATCACCTTACTCTTTTCTATGTTCACTTTCAACTTTCTACCTTTACACACATTCTCAAACTCATCCACTAACCTTTGCAATTTTCCTTTAGAATCTCCCATAAGCACAGTATCATCAGCAAAAAGTAACTGTGTCAATTCCCATTTTGAATTTGATTCCCCATAATTTAATCCCACCCCTCTCCCGAACACCCTAGCATTTACTTCTTTTACAACCCCATCTATAAATATATTAAACAACCATGGTGACATTACACATCCCTGTCTAAGACCTACTTTTACCGGGAAGTATTCTCCCTCTCTTCTACACACCCTAACCTGAGCCTCACTATCCTCATAAAAGCTCTTTACAGCATTTAGTAACTTACCACCTATTCCATATACTTGCAACATCTGCCACATTGCTCCTCTATCCACTCTATCATATATATATATATATATATAATATATATATATATATATATATATATATATATATATATATATATATATATATATATATATATATATATATTATTTGTATACCAATAGGACAAATGTAATTTTTGGTATAGCATACACATGAAAAGGGAAACTGTAATCTAGCCCCAACATTACTGTACTTCTTAATCACCATTTTGTAATAATGTAATCAACTACCTACCAACTACCTTATTCTGGCAAAACAACCCTATGGCTCCGAAAACTTGGCTACCTAATACTGTACCTGAGTAATGTTAATTTCTCCACGATACATGAAGGTGACCAGCTGGGAGACGTGAGTGAACTTCATGTCCTTTAAAATAATGATTGGTGATTTGTCCGGATGCTCTTCGAATAGTTGCTCAAAGTAACTGCTACATGCTGATAAAACCACCTAAAAAAAGACATAAAAAAAAATACATAAGTTAAGACTCGTGTATACAAATTCATGCATGTATATAAAAATACCTTGGTGGGAGATGGCCAGTGCATTAAAAAAAAAATATAACAATAATAATAATAAAATTGTAAATGGTCCAACTTGAACCAAAACATCGTCATAACCTTCTCTCTCTCTCTCTCCTATGTGTGGGTTATTTGTGTATTGATTATATTATTAACCTTGTAACTGTGATCAACATACATACTAGTATGCAAGCAATGGCTGTGTCTAATGTACTAATACACAATTATTTATGCCTTCAAATACACCACCTGCCAATATTTTTGACCTCAGTTCAACTGTTTGGATATCCTACAACCAAGTCATGCCTGTGAAAATAAAATCAAAGACTAGGTGGGAGCATCACACAGTAACACTGCCTGGGTAGAATAAGTAAACAATGAAGCCAGTACCTGTTTTTCTACCATCAGCTTCCCTACCAGGGCATACAACCAGCAGGAAGATGCCTTATTCATTCCAAAATTATTACAATTTCATGATACAGTGGAATTCAGCTAATAGGCACACAATGTAGATTTAACCAATATGGTCAAATAATGTGACTTATTTCCATGTTTCCATACATATTACACCTTAACCCTTTGACTGTTTACGCCGTATAAATACGCCTTACGCGCCACTGTTTCTGACATATGTATACTCATAAATTCTAGCGGCTTCAAATCAAGCAGGAGAAAGCTGGTAGGCCCACATGTGAGAGAATGGGTCTGTGTGGTCAGTGTGCACCACATAAAAAAAATCCTACAGCACACAGTGCGTAATAAGAAAAAAAAACAGTTTTTTTGGATTAAAACGCCGACTTTGAGGTGTATTTTTGTATGGTATTTATCGTTGTATTCTCGTTTTCATGGTCTTAGGTGATAAAATGGAAAACATATTACAGAAATAGAGATGATTTTAATTGCTTTCACGATGAAAACGACCTTGAAACTGAGCTCAAAGTAGCGGAAATGTTCGATTTTTACCAATGTTCAGGAGTAAGCAAATCACACCACACATCCAATACACGTCAACTGGGGAGTCTAATATTCTTTCACTAGTGCACTGATATTATTTATACCATTTTTAAAATAATGCAGTAGTCTGCATACCAGTAAATTTTTTTTTCTGTATGAATAAAAAATCAAAATAGAAAGCAATACAATAGTAATATAAGAGGGGCCTAGAGATGTGACTAATGAAGAGAGGATATGTTATTTTAGTGCCAAGAATGTCTACCTTGTTTATTCTGGACCCTATTTTGAAATTGGCATCTTTTTTGATTTGCATGAAATTGGCCAAATTGCCAATTTCTGACCACTTTATTGGGTAGTTCAAATCGGTAAATGGGCGGTTTCTTGTACTCAACTGATAGATAAAATGGAGTTCTAAAGAAATAGCTATGAGTTTAGTCAACTGGAACAACGGAATTGGCTAAAAACAGGGCTCAAAGTCGGCGAAATCGCCGATATGTATATGTCGCCAAGACCACTAACTTCGCGGGAGTGTAATTCCGTGAGTTTTCGACCAAATTTCGAACTTTTGGCGTCATTACCATCGGGAAAAGATTCTTTATCATTTCATAAGAAAAAATAACTTTTTTTTTCCTCAAAAATTTTGCGACATAGAATGACAGTTTCAGAAAGGGGCCTGCGACAGTCAAAGGGTTAAAACAATTGTAATATCATAAGATTTATCTGTAAATGTTTTACAGTGGTCTGGAGGACACAGAGGTGTTATGGAGACAGACATTACATCATGTTTATATAACCCGGGATATTCCCTCTTACTTAACTTTTGCTTTTAACACAGTGGTCATATCACACTGAGGTGTGGTGATCAAAAAAGAAGAAACACTTTCACCATCATTCACTTTATCACTATCTTGCCAAAGATACACCAATATTACAGTTCAGATGCCCGTCTAAAATGTAAATGTTCTCACCCCTGCTTCAGAGTGCAGGCATTGCACTTCCCACCTCCAGGACCCAGGTCCAGCTAACTGGTTTTCCTGAATCCCTTCATATATCATAATATGTTACCTCCCTCACACTCCAACAGTACATCAAGGCATAAAAACCACTTGCCTCCACTCACTCCTATCTAACATGCTTACATATATCTGTATAATATTACATTTCTTTACATAAAAAAAATTCTTTATTTTTTAGTTTTTTAGTACTCTTTCAAATTATTTACTTACAATTACAATCAGCATATCATTTTACAATTTTCTTTTTCACCAATCTTATTAGGTACAGATTAAATAACTAACTCTTCTTTAATACAAATTCCTTATTGCTTATATTATAGTCTATGAATGCTAATACTGATCCTGAGCTAAATCTCTCTAATTTCGACAATACATGTAATAACTTTAATGCAGACCAAGACTTCATATATTATTTACTGTTTGGAGGGACATCTGAACTGGCGTATCTTTGTACCTCTGGGAGGCCAGTGATAATGTGAATAATAATAATAATAGTAATAATATCTTTATTTCTACAAGTACATGTACAAGATATACAGGCCTAGATGACATCAATGACATATTACTACACCTACCATCCGACTTACGACCTGCTCGACTTACGACCACTTGACTTACGACCGTGTTTTTTATGCCAAATTTCTGGGAAATAAACAACTATTTGTGTTGTACACATTGTTTATCCTAAACCTTACAGTATAAAATACAGTACTAACAGCATAAGAAGTAAAGTAAAACATGAAATACAAAAATAAAACAATAAAGTCATTACAAAAATGTTTTGTTGATATTCAGTAGTAAAGTTCGACTTACGACCAGTTTCTCGGAACCGAACTCGGTCGTAAGTCGGATGGTAGGTGTATATAGAAAGCCCCTTGTTATGAAGAACATTTCGAGCAAACTAGGTCAATTTTGTCCCAGGATGTTACCCACACCAATCAACTAACACCCAGGTACCTATTTTACTGATAGTGAACAGGGACAGTTGGTGTCTTACGGAAACATGACCTAACGTTTTCCAACTGTACCGGGGGATCGATCCCTGGAGCTCAGTGTGTGTGTGAACTGAGTGTGCTAGCACTCAAACTACAGGTGAAACTGTTTCTTTTTCAGGTCACCCTACCTTGGTGGGAGATGGCCATTGTTAACCCTTAAACGGTCCAAACGTATATATACGTTCACCTGCGCAGCGCCCCGAATATTTTGAGAATTTTTTTTTTAATAGGAAAAAGGGCATGTGGTACCCAAGCGTCGCCAATTTTTTTTCATATGGGGCACACTGAGTGCGCACACCCATTCTCTCATGTCTAGGCGACTCAGGTCTATCGTGCCAATGTTGAATGAATGACAAATGAAACGTATATATACGTTTGGGGCGCTACGCGAGAGAACGTATGTATACGTTTGGACCGTTTAAGGGTTAAATAATAACGATAATAAAAATAATAATAAAAAATAATCTTTATTTCTACAAGTACATGTACTAGGTATACAGGTCTAGATGACATCAATGACCTACTACTACATAGAAAGTCCCTTGTTATAAAGAGCATTTTGGGCAAATTAGGCCCATTTTGTCCCCAGGGTGCAACTCACACCAATTGAATAACACTCGGGTATCTATTTTACTGATAACTGAACATGGACAGCAGGTGTCTTAAGGAAACACATCCTAATGTTTCCACCTGTACTGGGGATTGAACCATGGACCTCAATGGTGAGATGAGTGCACTAACAACTGAGCTATACAAGCTAAACAATAATTACCTTCAGTCACATGAAGAACATCTCAGAATTTAACAACAATGCCAGATCCTTGAGTAAACATACTGATATCAATGCGCTCCCAGTCACTAAATGCAAGCCTAACCTTCATTATTATTCATTGCTTGATACAGCATCTCTTCATGAGAGGGTTGACTGTATAAGATACAGTACTGAAGAAATGTAAGAAGTTTACACAAAAGTGCTGCGTGTGCAAATGCTCTTTGCTACTAGTTGAGAACACTCCTGCAAATTATTGGAAGCCACAAAAAAGTTCTCATCATGTACATAAAGCACCAATCCCAACAGCACTTTTCTCATCGACATCATGCTTAACTCTTCTAGGGTAGGGTAGGTGCCTGAGCCCGAGCTTGCAGCTCACAACACTGTCATTCCCATTATCCCCCTTGGGATGGGGATGGCAGACCAGAGAGGCCTAGCTTCTCCCTACGAGCCCCGTGAGGGCGGGGAATGTGGCTAGGCCTGGGGACAGTTGGTCCCAAAGATGAGGGGGGTACTTGTGCCTCCTCCCATGGGAGACTTAGGTCTCAGACACTCCCTAGACAGGGAGCCAAGGCCGGGCCACCACTTGGAAAAGGCCCGGGCCAGGAGAATAGAAGTGAATCTTAATAAATAAATAAAAAAAAAAACACTTTTCATTTAGCAGGTTCATTCTGTATCCAAAAGGCCAGGAGTTTTGTTAAAATAATTTAAATAGAATAATAGGAAAAGTGCAGAAGAGCTGAATTTCAGTGCCAGTAGATGTGGTTTAATAGATTTAAAGACATGGCAAATTCCACGACACATTGAGAAGTAAGGCTGCAAGTGCTGACAGAGGATGTTGCCTCTCATAACAATGTGTGTTGATCAAATTTGTTTAAGATGTGGTCTACACACCCTGGGAAGTTTTCAATGCTGAGAAATTGGGCTGCATTGGGAATGAATGCCATCAAGAACCTTCAGATGAGATACAAAGAGAGCACCAGTATTTAATTAAGACAGCAAGAGCTATGAATAACTTCTACAAACACAATCTCCTAGTAATTGTTTACCAATAAGACACCATGGGTAACAGAAATTTTATGGATTGGTTTTTGCAAACTTTTTGGGAATGTTCTTGTAAAATACTGTGCTCCACAATGAAAATGCCATATGTTATTCCCTTAAACTGAAAACTAGAGAACTGCAGACACAT